GTTTCAGGTTTTTTTTTTTTTTTTTTTTTTTTTTTTTTTTTTTTTTTTTTTGGTACCAGGGATCGAATTCAGGACCTTGCACTTGTGAGGCAGGCAGCAGCGTCACTGAGCTAAATCCCCGGCCTAGGGTACTATTTTTACTAAAGAGTTTAAGCAATGGCTTCCAGTCAAAAGCAAACTGGGTGTGGTGATACACACCTCCAATCCTAGCTACTTGGAGCTAAGGCAGGAGGATCACAAGTTCAAGGCTAGATTAGGCAATTTATTGAGATTTTGTCTCAAATTAAATTTGGGAGGAAAAAAGGCTGAGGATGTAGCTTGTAGCTCCATGCTTCCTGGGCTCAAAAAAAAGAAACCTTCTGAGACCTAAGCAGTACAGCGTAAGATAAACCTGAAGACCCTGTCCCTTTAGAGATGCACCTTTAGTCTCCCAGTAATGAACACCCTTCTGTGAGATTAGGAACCCAACCTTTAAGTCATAGACTGTGCTGCCTCCCTGGAATAATATGGTCTTAGTTTTTCCTGAAGAAAAGTCTAGAGTGCCCTCCTTAGCTTCTTGTAGACAGGACTCATAGACTCTGCAACATCATACAGAAACTGCTTCCTGAGGGGACAGGGAAGAGTTTCCAACATAATGCTTTTACTGATAATCAACACTGAAATTTAGAAAATGAGTTTGGAATTAGAGTTGTCTTGTTAGCAGTCTTAAACATGCACTTTCTCCAAATTAACTTCTCTTCCCAGACACAATATTTTAATAATCACTTTAATTACATAAATTAGAAAGGAAAGGAAAAAAAAGGCTTAGATGCTGTTAGATTTTGTTTCATTAGCCAAAACAATGATCTCTATCAGGGGTAGAGCACAATGTGTGGGACTCTGAAACAAAGCCTGATAATGGCAAAGTAAAACCATAATTCGGAATCATGACTCTTTTCTTATTATAAAGAAAAAACTCAGCATTACAGCAGAAGTCACTCAGAAATATATGATTCAAACAGAAAACAAAATTAATATATCTAGGGCAAAAGCCTTAGGGAGTGACATGTAAGTTCACTTAACAACCTGCAAAGTCAGAGGGATTCAGGATGTAGTCAGTGAGTCAGGATAGCTCATAAGAGGGCAGGAACAGGCAAAGGCTGTTCATTTATATCAGTCAGGTGAGTCTCTTTTAGAAAATAACTAATGTACACAGCACACTCTCAACAGTGGGCTTCTACAAAGGGAAATGTACATTTATGTCATTTATTTTTCATCCGTAATGTGGTCCTGAATAAGGGTTACATGAGAAGTAGCAAAACAAAAAGTAAACAAGCTGGGCATGGTGGTGCATGCTTGTAATCCCAGCCCTCTGGAGACTGAGGCAGGAATATCAGTGCTAGTTCAAGGACAGCCTGAACTAAACAGTGAACTGCTGTCACAAAAGACTAAGACGAAACAAAACAAAATGCTTACTCTCAGCTTATGGAAACAAAAACTATTCAAATTAATATTCAATTAGAAAAATAAAAATGAATCAGGCCTGGGGCCCAGGATGCAGCTCAGCGGTGCCGTGCCTGCCTGGCAAGTCCAACGTCCTGTATTCGTTTCCTAGTACAGGGTGAAGATCAGGCCTGCTAAATCCAATAACAATACAACTTAAAAACTATTCTGTGGATCCTACTTGACAATTCTAATATGGCTCTAGAAATTGAAACAAAAATTATTTTTTTCAAATGACACGGCAAATATAACATTAGGGTGCTGATTAAATCTACCAAGAAAGGGACTTCACATTAACAAGTGTCCCAGACAAAATTCATTTTACCATTAAGGACAGGCTAGAGGCAGATTCTAATGTATCAAGAATCAAATCAAATTTGAATCCTCAAACTCAAAACTCTGCTTCCAGAGGGTTCCCTATACAAAGGTATGAGCAGGCTGGTTTCAGTCGGATTTCATAATACCTATATCAAAACTACTCTGCTTTTTTTGCACTATCCTAACCTAACATAGCATATAATTAACCAGTCGCACCCATATGCATGATCTAGCCCCTGCCTATCCTTTCCCTTGCTGGCTACTCTTCCCCTAGATTCCTACAATTCAGCTATACCAGCCTTGTATGGGTGTCTCAAGTACACCAACCTCTTGTTTCTGAACCTTTATGACTAATGTTTCTTTTAATGGCAGTTTTCTCCATCTGTATCACACACACATACACTCAAACTCCTATTCATCCCTTGAGACTTAGCTTAAACTCATACTTCTACACTAGAGACCTTTTCAGCCTAGGTTAGTTATGTTCTCTTGCTACTCTCTACCTCTCTTTGGAGGTACTTCATTCAATTCCAAGTATATTATTATTTTTTGAATAGTGATTTTGTGTTTGACTTTCTTGCTGGACTGAAAGTGTCACGAGGATACATACTATGTATGCTTTGTCCATTTCTATATTTTCAGCCCCTTAACTCAGTATATATTACATGGCAATATGGAATAAACAATGTTTGAATGAAAAACTTCAAGAATTATAAGTTAACTATATAAAAGATATACATACTGAAAAGTGGCAAGAAGCAATTTTTTTTTTTTTTTTTTTGCTACCGGGGATCAAACCCGGGTCCTTGTGCTTGTGAGGCAGGCGGCAGAACCATTGAACTAGATCCCTGGCCCAAGAAGTAATATTTTAACATGCTTACATGATGTGGGTTGACCAAAGGATCCTGGGCTAAAATGGAGCTGTTGAAAATAGATGTAGTCCTAAGCAACCAGGTCACTGGGGATTTCCCATTGACTACATTAGCAAGAACAAGGATTGAGCTTTGCAGATTTAGTGCCAGAGAATCTAGCACATCTAGTATTTGTATCAGATGGAAAACACGATGACAGATGTTTCCACATTGGGCTTATACCAGGTAGCAAAGGACCCTGCCCTTCTGACATTGAAGTCTACTCGAGTAACAGAGTGGAAGTGGTACACGTTCCTAGGCTTCTACTTGGAAAGAATTTTCATTAACAGTCTAACTTGCTCATTCTTGTTCTCCTAGGTACGCTAACCATTCTCATTTTTCACAAGGGTTTGGAAAGGAAGCAGCAGGGCCTTTGCTTTTCTTTCCCTCCATTCAAGTTTGGCTCATGTCTACAACGCACCTGAATAGCTCCTCCTAGCATGACGGCCACCAGCCCCATGGACATGCTCAGTGTCTGTGACTCCACGGTGCTCTCTGCCTCACGGGCCAGGCTTGCACATGCTCTCTGCAGTGTGGCTGCTACGAAGTCCACTACCTACCAGAAAAATGGAAATTAAAATCAGTGAAGAGTGGGGGAACAAAACTTTCAACATTCTCCATACTTCTTGTCTTTTTTTTGGTTTTTTTGAGACAGGGTCTCATTATGTAGTTGAGACTGACCTGGAACTCACTATGTAGCCCAGGTTGGTCTCCAACTCCCAACGATCCTCCTGTCTCAGCCTCCTGAGTGCTGGGATTACAGGCGTGTGCCACCACACCCGGCTTTCCATACTTCTTATTTCTATGTCATTTTCTTTGTCAATAGCAGGACGGGAAGAACCACCAAGAATAATGTGCTACTCTGCAGCATGCATTGTGCCAAATACTATCAAAAAAGTTTTTAACATTTGACAGTTTATGATAAATGATATTTCAATGGCTATGGAAGACAACCAGATGAAAGGATGGACAGCACAAGGACAGCTCTATGAGCTAGGGACTTCCACGGGTTCAGCAATCCAGAAGCTCCTAAATGTCTTATATGTACAATCTCAGTTCTCACATCAACTCTATGATATTATAATAAATGAACTGCTTTTGACCATCTCAGAAGATCTGAGGTTTTCTCCTAAGAGGCTTTTCTACTCCCACATTTTCACAGCTTAATTCCAGTAAACAAAGAACAGTAGAGATGTACAATTTTATCTAGAAGCCAGTATCCTTAAATAATCTGTAAAGTGATCCAGGGTCATTTTCTAAATATTAAATATTTTTAAAGGCTTAAGATTTTCACATACAAGATTTCATATAGCATTTGGCTAACAACTAAGCTTTAAGTGAATTAATTTGGTCAGCAGCATTTGAGCTTGGATTAAGCACCTTGAGTAAAACATCTTTGAATTAACGACAGCAGACATACACATACATGCACGCACGTACGCACACACACACACACACACACACACATGCATATTTAGGATTAATGGCTCAAAGAGAAGATATCATTTTGAAAATGGGAAGGCTGAGATAGGTCATAATAAGCCTCTAAATACCATGCAAGCTTGCATGTTTAATTCTCTGGACAAATCACATGCTGTGCTAGAATCTTTATTGTAAGCTTAGCAAAAGAGTGGCCTGTTAACACTTGTCTTTTGGAGCAAAGAAGGAAACTGGAAAGATTATTTAAGAGTTCCACTTACTGAAAGAAACAATGTTGGCTCTGGCAATCTCCAACACTCTTTCCAACCCTAAGACTGTTTGATACTAGAAATTAAGGACACTGGACCCTTCTAGAGAAACTGCTGCCCCTACCATCTTGGGGCACTTAGTTTCCAAAGAGCTTTCTAAAACATTCCTTTATTTATATTTAACTTTTGTGTCAGCACAAGTATTGATAAGTTACTGGAATAGAACTATCTAGCCTTCCACTTTTTTTTCTAAGTTTCTCTCCACAGTTTTTTTTTGTTGTTGTTGTTTTGTTTTTTGTATCCGGGATTGAATTCTGGCCCTTGAGCTTGCAAGGCAGGTAGCAAATCCACAAGTTTTTTTTAAAGGATGCAAAACAAGAATTGATTGTACTCAGGGTCTGTGCACTGAGCTATATCTCATTCCTTTTCAAATTCTGAGACAGGATCTAAGTCACTGGTTGTCCAGGCTGGGCTCAGCATCACAGAGTACTGGGATTACAGGTATGGACCACCACACTTGGCATTACGATCTTTTCTTTTTTTTTGCAGGGGGGGGGGCACCAGGGATCAAACTCAGGACCCTGCGCTTGCGAAGCAGACAGTGGAACCACTGAGCTAAATCCCTGGCCCATGATTCCATTTTTAAGAAAGAAACTCTCTGGGACTAGGAATTTAATTCAGTGGTGCCACCAACTGCTTCACAAGGACAAGATCCAGAGTTTGATCCTCTGTAACAAAAAAGAAAAAAGAAAGAAAGAAAAAAGAAACTTCGTATGCACGTAAACAAAACAAAACAGAACTACAAGCTGTTAACTAGAAAGTGATGGCCACCTATTACATACTGTCATTAATAAAACACCTTCTCCCTCAAAGTTTTTCTTGTAGCCAGGCATGGTGGCACATGCCTGTAATCCCAGCACTCAGGAGGCTGAGGCAGGAGGATTGCCTCAGAGTTCAAGCCCAGCCTGAACTACATAGTGAGACCCTGTTTCAAAAAAAAAAATTGTTTTTTCTTGTAACACCAAAAACACTCTACCCAGTTGACCATCACCCTTTCCCCTACAACTTATTTCCTGTGACTCTGGTAGGGCTGCTAGCCACAAGAATAGGTATGCGACTGAAGCCTATTCTAGAATCTAAATGTGTTGCAGAAAGAAGGAAGACTTTTTTTTTTACTTAAGACTTTTTATAATGACATATAATCTTAAAAGCTAAATGTTCCTATAAGTTTATAGCAAAAACTAGCCATGCCCTACCTCCTTCCTCCCATCTGATTCTGGCTCTACAGAGGCAACTATTTTTAATTATCTAGATGTTTAATAATAATATTAAGTATTTACTACTTACGAGGCACTATTCTGAATGCATTACATGTATTAACTCACTTAACCCTCTTAATGACTCCATGGGAATGTATAAACTTGGTGCCAAAATGCTGACAACTGAGTGGGAATTTGTAGACATCAATAAGCCTCCTGTTTTTCAGTTTGCTACTCCCACCCAAATCCAGCATCCTTTGGGTTCAATGTCACTCGAGATTAAGCCTCTGGTTTTTCTTTTCTTTTCTTTTTCTGGTGTGGGAAATTTAACTCAGGACCTCTAGGTATAGTGCCGCTGATCTACATCCCTGGCCCCTCCAGTTTTTCACTGGGAAGAGGAGACAGTTGTGCAAAGTTAGGGAAGAAATCAAAGGTCTTCTGAATCCCACACAGCCCTTCCAGCCATGGTAGGCTCCACACTTGGCCCCATCTTCAGTACTTATCTGGTGCTTCCAATCTTCCTTATGCTCTGTATCGAGAAGTTCCTAGCTCCTTTTTTCCCTTTTTCTTTAAAAAAAATTTTTTTGGTAGTGGGAATTGAACTCAGGACCTTGTGCTTGCAAGGTAGTCGGTAGAACCACTGAGCTAAATCCCCAGCACTTAAAAAAAATTTTTAACAGCTTCATTGAGGGATAGCGGTTTGTTTCTTGACTTCTCTCCATATGGACATTTAGCTTTCCAATTTCTCAAGTTGCTCGAGCAGCTACTATTTTCCAGTTTCCAAATTCTGCTATTCTCTACTATTTATTGTCTCCTTTCTCTTGCTATGTTGGTTCCTGTGGTTTCCAGAGGGAGAGAGTAAACATATATATGAACACACTGTCTTTAACCAGAGGCCCTTACTTTATATATTGTGCACTTCATATTGTTTAAATGTTTTTACAATGAGCATGTGTTACCTATGTCAAAAAAATTTTTAACATCTGAAAAAGAAAAAAACACCATGTAGAGCCACTTGTACTCTGTTGATTATAGTGATCCAGTTACAGCAAGGAGCGAAGGGTGGCAGTTTCCTGAAATGGCAGAGATAAGGGAATGTTGCTCACTCCACTGTACTGATGCTGGCTCCTCGCTGGTCCTACCATGCTGGGCATCTGGGCTTGCTGTACAGCCTCCGGAGCTCCCCCTAGGCATCTCAAAGGTCTCTTCTCCCTTGCCTCAGGGCTTTGCTCAAAAGTCACGTCCTGGGTGTGACTCTCCATGGCCACCTACTTACCACATTCCTCTTTGGTTTTCTTCTGCTTCCTTCTTCAGCACTGAGGACTGATTCCCGGGGCTTCACACTGAGCTACATCACCAGCCCTTTTTATTTTATTTAATTAATTTATTTTGTGATACTGGGTATTAAACCCAGGGTCTTTGCACTGAGCTATATCCCCAGTTCTTTCTTTATTTTGAGGCAGGGTCTCACTAGTCACTAGGTTGCTGAGGCTGGGCTACTCCTGTCTCAGCCTGGCAGAATGTACAGATTACAAGTGTGTGCCACAATTTCAAGCTGTATGCCTCTTACCATCCCTTTTTCTTGTTTGATTTTTTATCCCTAGGAATTATCACCACCTGTCACACTGTGTCTTTGCTTTCTTGATTATTGTCTCTATGTGAATGTTAGCTCCATGAGAGTATAGCTATGTATCTGTTCACTGTAGTGTCCTTGGTACACAGAACAGTACGTGGCATAAAGCCAGCCCTCAATTCATAATTTTGGAAAGAAAGGACTCAGGAGTTGGTGCAGGGTCATGATCAGTACACAGACCATTGTGTGCCTCATTCCTTTCTGCACCATCATATGTATAATACGCCAATCCCAACGTACTGTATTGAAAATTGAGGGCCGGAGATTTGGCTCAGTGGTTCCTTGCAAGTGAAAGGTCCTGAGTTTGACCCCCGGTATCAAAAAGAAAAGTTAGCTTTTATCATATACTTCAAAACATGCATTTCTCACAGGTAAGATTTGTTTTTTACATAACTAACAAAATATAATTATACCCAATAAAAATTCCTTAATATACCATCTAATACCTGGCCCTTGACTGTTAAAAAAAATGTCTCCCACAATTGATTTCATATTTCTTATTTATTTATGTATTTATTTATTTTTTGCGTTACCGGGGTTTGAACTCCAGACCTTGAGCTTGTGAGGCAGGCCCAGCACCACTGAGCTACATCCCCAGCCTTCATTTTTCCTTTTTAAATGCCATTTATTTGATGAAGAAACTGAGCCACATATGATACAGAATCTCCCACCTTCTGGATTTCTTCAGCCATTGTTTCATCTGCTCTACTGTGCTTCCCTGATTAGGTTCAGGTTCAAAATTTTTGTTTTTGTTTTTTTGGTCTGGTACCAGGGCTTGAACCTGGGGGTTGCTCTACCACTGAGCTACATCCTCAGCCCTTTTTAAAATTTTGAGACACACTCTCACTAAGCTGCCCAGCTGGGCCCAAACTTAGAATTCTCCTGTCTCAGCTTCCTAATTAGCTGGGATTACAGGTGTGCACCACCAAAAACAGCTCAAATTTTTGTTTTTTGGCTTCAGGATAAGAATACTTCCTAAGTGCTTGCATATTTCCTACTGCAATACTTGAGAAGGTCCATAATATCTTCTTGTCCACCTATGGTGATATAAGATCTGTCTATGCTAAAATATTTAGAGCTGGGTGTGGTGGCGCATGCCTGTAATCCCAGCAATCAGGAGGCCGAGGCAAGAGGATCACTATAAGTTTGAGACCAGCCTAGGCTATATAATGAGTTCCAGGTCAATCTCACCTACATAGTGAGCCCCTGTCTCAAACCCCCTCAGAAAAAAATTTAGGGGGACATATACTGCTATCTCCATTAATGCTGAAATTTACCAAAAGGAAGTGGGCTGGAGGGATGAATAATAGACAAAAATGTGATACAGCAGCTGGACATGGCAGTGCACGCATATAAATCCCAGCACTCTGGGAAGCCAGGGCAGGAGCATCCCAAACTTGAGCCCAGCTTGGGCAATTTAGTGACTCAGTAAGACTCTGTCTCAAAATAAAAGCAGAGGGGGTGGGTAGGAATGGTTTGGGGATGCAGTTTAGCAGGAAGGCCCTGGGTTCAGTCTTCAGTAATAAAAAAAAAAAAAAAAAGCTAACAGTAATGATATTTTCTAGGCAGGCTGGGGACACACAAGTTTCAGTAAATAAATAATTAATATATGTTAAAACTGGGTGTGGTAGTGGTAGTTCACTCCTGTAATCCCAGCTCTCTGGGCGGCTAAGGCATGGGGATCCAAGTTTGAGCCCAGCTGGAGGAACTTAGCTGTCTCAAAATTTTAAAATTCGTGGGGATGTAGGTAAGTGGGAAGGCCCTGAGTTCAATCCTCAGCACTACAAACAAAATAAAACAACAAAATCCACATGTTAAGCAAAAATAAAAAGAATTTAAATATTCTTTCTGTTTTTTGGGGGGTACCAGGGATCAAACTCAGGTCATTGCGCTTGTAAGGCAGGCAGCTGAACCACTGAGCTAAATCCCTGGCCCCACTAAATGTTCTTTCAAATTTGAAATTTTTCATGATAACATGTTGGAAGGGGAACCAATCAGTTCCTTGGGGTGTTGTAGAACTAGTACTTTCATTATAAAGTACTTCATCCATAGTCCATCTAAGAGTTTTGGTAGACATGGATGATTGGTATCTAGATCCACTATTTCATTAGAGTTCCAAAGTGTAATTTTCTTTCTTTCTCTTTTTTAAGAATTATCTTTCTCTTTTTATTTTTATATTATTGTTGTTATTTTGTACTGGGGATTGAACTCAGGACCCTGCACTTGCCAGGCAGGCACAACACTACTGAGCTACACCTCCGGCACCCCTCTCTTAATTTTTTGGTTGCAATTCTCATGTAAAGAAAAAGTTTCCTTCACTTACTACTTGATTATACTGAAATACAGTTCCTATGGGAAAGGCAAATAAATGTTTAATGCCTTCCCTTAATTATCAATTTACAAAATATAGAATTGATGCCCTAACAATCTCCAAAGATGTCCTGATGTACTGAGGTTTTTTTCCCCCTCATATCATAGTATTGTTGATGTGCTTTAATCCATTATCAGCATTATTTTTTATATTTCAGCCCCTCCCTCCTTTTTTAAAATTTTGAGATAGTGGTTCACTAAGTTGCTAAATTGCCTGGATTGGGCTCAAACTTGTGATTCTTCTGTCTCAGCCTCCTAGAGTGCTAAAATTACAGGCATTTGTCACTATACCCAGCTGTTATTCTTTTTAATGCTGCAACTGTCCTATCTGGGGCCATTAGGACTCATTTCAAGTTGGTTCCTGAATTCTATTGACTTAACCCCGTTAATCTCAGATAGCTTCCTCGCACTTGGGCACAACAAGCTGCTTTGAAGCTTATATGACTTTTACCTCAGACCTTAATTCAACCTTTATTCCAAAGAGCTTCAAGAGTTTTGTTTTGTTTTGTTTTTGTAGTAGAATATGATATTTAGAAACTATAATATGGTATGAAGGATGCCTGGGTTGTTATTGCTTCTTGGTACCTAAAGCGATCTGCACTAGGAAATAATTATTTTTAAAAAAGAAAAAAGATCAACTATGACTTCATGCTAATAATTCCAATTCAGATATCAATATTATATATATTACATTCTCTTTATCCTTATCTGTGTGTCTCAATATGTAAACATTATTACTAGATTACTAAACATTATCAATAAGATTACTAAACACAATTCAATGCTTGCTTGTGATTCTTGTTGTTCTGATACATTTTATTCTTAGCTGAAAGATAATTTAATGGAACAAATCATTCTTTTGGTGGGGGGGGCAAATCATTCTCATACCACCTTAACACCACAGTTCCTTAACAGTAAAGGAAGATAAGTACAAAAGCTAAAGTCATACCAGTTTCTGGGCCATTTCCCCTTTGAAGTAGCATTCTGAGACAAAAACATAAGATCTGGATGAAAAAGTCTTCAGGGAATGGGTATGAACACAGGAGAAATAAATCACCCACAAACTAACATGGGGTCAGTGAACTAAAGGAATAAGAGGCCTGGAAAGAAATCAGGACCATAATTCTCATTAAACAGGCAAGATAAGTCAGAGCTGACAGGCAGCTGCAAATTTTCTCAGCAGGAGCCATAGTGAAATGCTGCTTAGCAACACCCGAAGGCAGATGAAAATGACGACAATCATTCAAGTGCCAGAGAATCAGATTTAAGTGTGACAATCAGACCATCTTACACCAACCAGGAAACTACTACTTCTGATAAAATGGTAAAATATGGTGACTATATTGCCTACACTTTATTACCTTCATTTCCTATTTTTTTTTCAGCTTTAATTGAGTTTATTGGTACATTTTAGGGATACAATACAGTTACATTTATTGTTGGGATCTTGTACCTCTACATGACAAGTCTTGATTCTCATTTTTTCCCCTTACCTCTGCCCTCCCTTCACCCCCTCCTCTCCTCCCCATCTACAAACACTTTATTTTCATCTTTTCATTCTCTCACATTTTTTTCTTTTCCCTTTTTACTCTTCATTTCCTATTTTTAAAAAAAGGTGATAAAAATATTAATGAGTAGACCAACAAAATTCAGGTACTGACTCACATTAGGTAAACATTTTTTTAAAAATTTTAAATTTTATAAAATATTGTAGCGATTAGCTCTGAATTAGGGAACCTATAAGATTTAAAGTGATTGTATTAGCATTTTTTTCAAAATTTTCAACTTCTTT